CCACCCTGCCATGTTCTGAGAACCAAGCTGAGCCTCTGCCTCTCCTGGGCTCCTCTGCAACCTACATGTCCCAGGACGAGCAGCACTCGGCAGTCACTGGCTGTTGGAGGTGGTTATCAAGAGCAACGCCCTGCCCGTGCTTTCTGGGGTCACCAACATGCAGCCTCCAGCTGGGACATTGAGGCCCAGAGCAGGAAGTGACATGCAGAGCTGGGTCAGAGTCCAGAAACCGCGTCCCATTAGAAGCATCCCAGCATGGCAAGCAGGAGGCCGATACAGCTCGATGCTCTTCAGCACGCAACTCAACAGCAGAATCTTGCCAGCTACAAATGCAGCCTCTACTAGAGACTACAAAAACCTAAGGAATCATGTCCCTCCCTCCCATCTTTCTCAGAGTAACAGGGAAAGCCTTCGCCATGCTTACAAGGCTCCATACAGCAGGCCCCTGTGGCCTCTCTCCCCTTGCCCACTATGATACGTAGTGGAGCCTCAGGGCTCTTGCACATGCTGTTCCTTCTGCCTGGAAGACTCTCTCCCCAAACATCTGCAGGCTTACTCTCTCCCCTCCTTCAGATTTTCTTCTAACACATCTTCTCTTCAGTGCAGCCTTTCCTGACCACTCTCCAAAGAAGTGCAGACCACCCCTCCCAGCACTTCCGAGCCCCTTCCTGGCCTTGCCTTTCTCTGTTGCACTTGTCACCATCTGGCCTCCTTACATCTTACTTCTTTATTTTATGTATTTATTTTTTGCCTGGGAGAATATTTTAAAGGCAATACGAGACCTAGGCTAATGCGATTGTAAGTTATATTGGCAGCTTCCAGTCCAGAGCTGGCTCACAAAGTGGGAAAATAAAAGCAGACAGAAGCAGAGGATCCCCAATCCCTCTGTAATACCCGCACTTCCCTTTTCTCCCCCAGCCTTGGACACCCAGGAGCCTCCTGCTCCCTAAAAGTGGTGACACCAATTCTCCTCCACCAGCAATCGTCATCCTCTGGAAGTCCTTCCCCACTCTCTGGAGAGCCCAATAAGCCATATGAGGTCAGTGTGCTGTCTCTCCAAGGGGGTGACTGAGATTGTGCGGGTAAACCCCAAGAGTGAAGTTCCAATGACAAAGTGAAGGAA